CAGTATTCGCTCTTCTGCTTTCATCAGTGACCACATCTCAAATCTGTATGTCATAGTGTTGAGGAGCTGAGCGCACGATCCTTCCGGTTCGGCACTTTGAGGGCATCAGCAGTACTGTGAACCTTAGCCAGTGGTATTTTTGCATGCAGATGTATTTACTTCCTGTCTGAGGTAGACCAAACTGTCAACTTCCTCAAAGTCAACACCCTTTATGCTTAATCTTCGTAAAAATGTTTTCTTTATCATTTATTAGGATTTATGAAGTAGCAGTTATTTAATGTCGTAATAGTAAAAAATCTGTGTTTTGTAGGGTCCTCATGCATCGTACTTGGTAAAATTACGGGAAGTTTCGAGCTTACAAGAAGAATGTCAAAAAGCTGTGAAACATGGATTTTATCGATTGTCCATAATAAAAAGTTTTTTGAAAAGGTTTCTTTTTTTGGATTTTTGCAAGAAACTTTTAAGATCGTGTGAATGTATTCTTTACGCTGGATATTGTTTTTTGATTTTACTGGCATGGTTGTTCGGCTAACTCATTTTCTGAGCACTGCTAAGGATTATGATAAATTTGGAAGTCACTAATTTCGGGTGAAAAATTAGATAAATTCTTGTAAATCCCTTCGTGATAAGGCCACTGACACACTTCCCATTTGGGCATTTGACCATCCATTCTTCCAACCTGTGATAACCTTCTTGTTTAGTCTTTCAACCATCTGTTTGTTCAGATCTCTGAAATTACGTTTTTTTTTTTTTTTCACTTACAGCCTGAAAGGAAAGGAGCAACCTGAACACGAGGAAACTTTGAAAGAATTGATAGAAAGCGTAGGAGAGATGGATCGAAGATTACGAGATATGAAAGGCGAGCTACCAGTACAAGATAACGGGTAAGTTATCTAAATTTCGAAAAACTTAAGGAAGTATTGAAGTGTGGTACTTAAGAAGGGCTGGTTTGTGGTACTGGTGCTTTGGGAAGAGGCCTTTTTCAGGAAACATTAGATTGTTGTTTTTTTCCTACTGCTAAAATTCGATCCTCTCGCCGAATATTCGGTTATTTCTGATATTCTTAATATTACTATTAGTAGTTAAATTTCCAGCTGGATCCGAGTTTTTTGAAGTACTATTTTTAGTAATTCTTTTTAAAAAAACAACACTTCTTTCTAACCGTCCCTCTCTACCTTCTCCATTGTCTGTTGGTCATAAATATTAGTTAAATTTTGAATTAACTGAACTCAAAATGATAAAAATTTCTACGCAGTTACCGTGCGCTTCGAATTCGACTTTCGCTACTTTTTAGTATTTTTGCTTAAAACCTAAAAAGCTCAGCCAAGAAAGATAAAGTTCCATGATTTTCAGATTGTATTTATCGATAATTCTTGGCAGTAATCTCAATGTATCGTTGATGAACAAAAATGATCGTTATCGTTACAAGCAAGAATACGAGAAATTCAAAGTGACTGTGAACTGTACATTACTTTTCCTAATTTTTTTCGCTTACATCTTCCCATTCAGGTTTGTTTTCATTTCTGAAGAAAATAAAACCATTTGTATCCCTATTATATGTTGTTTTTTAAAAAATTGTTAATCTTTCGAATTTTGGTCACCTCCTCGGAGAAAATGAGAAACTGCTGTGAAGTGTCGTAACGAATGCCCATCTGCGTAAAATCCGCATACAGCTTGAGCGGTGGTTCTACGTGCTGGGCCGTTTGAAACAAAATTCGAGCATTTTTAGTTGAAAATTAAATTTGTATTGTCACACAGTAACATCACAAACTTGGAATACTCACACCAACTGGTCTCGGTTTTCACAGTATTTTTGTAAGGGGCTAGAAATTACTGCACATATATTTTTTGATATCGCCGAGTGCTC